TGCTCAAGCCTGCCACAGCGAAAGATCTAAACATTTGTCAGATAAAAATGCTACTTGCTGCATGCTCCATCTGCTTTGCCGAATTAAAACTTCTTTGTCTGAAAACAAATTCTTGCTAATCTCTCAGGGACAAAAAAATCCAACCCACAATAATTGTGAATTATGTTCTTTGACAATGTATCTTTGCTGTAATGAATGAAGGCTTTGCTATTGCTCTAATCATGATAACATGGCAGCTGCTTTTAGAGTCAATTCAGTTTTTGTATAAACTTTAATGACAGTGCAATTATTTAAATTTCAGACTAACAGCCTGGGCTTCAGAGACACAATACTGTTCTGATACTAGCACGCTTAAAAGGATCAGAAAAGTTTCTTAAATGCCAATAGAGGTGAATAAATTTGACATACATACATTGTGTGCCTGCAAACTGGGGACATTTTATTTTGAAAGTTAAAAAACAATTTTAAAAGTATAAGGGTTTCAGTAAAATTCATTTTAGAGCAGTTTGCCTTAACCCATAATTACCTTTGGGAAAAATTCCATGAGTTCACATTCTACATGAGGAAAATGTAACAAAAACTTACCTACAGGGAGGTCTCCAAGGTAAAATGTCCCAGTATTCTAGATAGTTAGGGGTCTTTGAATCTGTTGGCACATAAGATCTTAGAGAAAATTCTTCATGCATTATATTACTCTCGTGCATTCAGATGTGGGAGCAACTGTTTCATCTCAATAAACATTGAAAAGGCAGATCAAACCCCCAACACTTGCATTATTGAAACAAGGTGCTGGTTGTATTCTCCGCAGCTCTTTCTTGACCTCTCTGTTCCCTCTATCACGATTGGGCAGAAAGTATATCTGAATGTACTGAAGGTTCTCTAGATCAGTGATCCCCAACCTTGGGCCTCCAGATGTTCTTGGACTACAACTCCCAGAAACCTTCACCACCATCTCTGCTGGCCAGGATTTCTGGGAGTTGAAGTCCAAGAACATCTGGAGGCCCAAGGTTGGGGACCACTGCTCTAGATGATGTGCAGTAGATGAGCAACCTTTTCTGACTCCCAGTTGTCCAGTGACAGCAACAACTAAAGAATTTCCCCCACCAAGTTTGGGAACACCAGCAGGCCAACTAGCAGCTGATTTTTGTGTGAGAGGACTTGGAAACTTGGTTCTGATGCCACCCACCAAATCGTTTCACACTTGGCAATAGTTGCATTTCAGATTCAGGTTGTTATTGTTTTTAAGTAGTAGTATATTCTGGAAGACCGGAATCTGCCCACCTCTGTTTAGGTCCTATATTTCATGCCTCCCAAGCTTTCTTTTCAGTATACTCTGTTCTGACCAGGAGCATCTAGTATGCTGTTCCTGTTGTGTTCCACCTTTTAGTCCCCCCCCCATCTCACCCATCCTGCACAATGCACACAAAATTAATGTTTCACTTCCTGCTCAGAAGCCTCACAGTCAGCACAGACTGCTATAGGCACTCCAGTTCAGCCCTTTGGATATTCCAAAAATTACACAGCACTATAGCAGCTTTGCCAAGTTTAAGCATGAAAGTGATTTAAGTGTGATTTAACTTTCATGTGCGAAAACACTATGTTTTCCCACATGGAAGTTAAATCACACTTAAATCACTTTTATACTTAAACTTGGGGTAGTAGAATGATGCAATTTGAATGCCTACGCTCAGGGTCAAATTGAGGTAACATCTCACATTTACTGGAAGTAAAATACATTGATAATGCATTTAATCTTCATGTGCACAGTCCCTTCAAAGCACCATGCTTGAGCAGTCAGACTTGCAAATGAAATCCAGGTTAGCCAATGGCAACAGAAAAGTCTATTTGCAATATGCAGAGGCAAGGAAAGCTTCTGCTACAATCAACAGGAATCTTTTCTCTCTTACTTAAGTTCCTATTCTAGTGATATGCTAACTATATCACTTGCTTTGACCCTTACTGACACTATTTTAGCAGCCATGCACATATATTTAAACCTCATAGAGTCTTTACTTGTTCAGCAACCATCAGAAGACTTCAAACAGGAATTAAATTTCTTGATATTTCCATTTAATTTTATAGAAAAGTGCCAAGAGTATCAGGTTATAGGATCTTGTCCTCTCTCTGTAGCCAAAACTCTCGCTAAGGCCTCTGTAGCGCTATCTGTTGCCTTGAGTGAGGCATAAAATGCCACATGTTTGCTGAGAGCTAGAAAAAAATGTTAATGTGCAATCTTTATGCCACAAAACAGGAGATAGGAGTTACCGTATTTATCGCTCCATAAGACGCACCTTTCCATAAGACGCATCAATTTTTAGGAGAAGAAAACAGGAAAATATAATCTGTTTTCTTTGCTCCATAAGACGCACAGACTTTCCACCCCCCCCCGTTTTGTGGGGGAAAAGTGCATCTTATGGTGTGAAAAAGGCGGTAGGTGCCAACCCTAGGTTAATAATATCTACTTTTCTAAAGAGGAACCACCTCTATACTTGGATGGAACAATGGTACAAAATCTTAGATGGCCTCCCTTTGGGACTGGATACTATCTTTTTCCACCAGATGCATTATACCTTTACAAAATACATAGTTTTGCTGGTGCCTCTTTTTCTTAAGCAACTCTTTGATGGGGCGGTTGGTAACATGCTTAGAGTGCAGCTCAGAAAGGGTAGTTAAGGAGAACTGTGTCCTGCTGCAGATCCCACAATGGGCCAGGCCTTCTCATTGTTCTGCAGGCAGGCCTTGGTATGCAGTTGGGGAGGCTGGTTGCCACACAGTGTGAATCACAAATGTCAGTTTGAAAGCACAAGTAAGCAGCCATCTTAAAGAGGAAGAGCTGAGTTTAAAAACTACAAGCCAGTTTTTCATGGGGATTGACAGAGCTGGCCTAAGAGAGTTTTCTGCCTGAGGCATTCAACTCCCAGTCACATTACACATAGTATTCAAGGCCAGTTTGTCGCCTGAAGCAGAAAATGCCACAAGCACCTTCACAACACCTAGGAAGAAGAAAAAAAGCAATAACGCTGCCATTTTATGTTGCTCAAAACCTGTCATCTAAAGCAGCTACCTCACTTGCTCAATGGTAGGGTGTTCTGGAAATTCTGCAGGAGAATTTCCTGCCCTATTGTGCCCTAAATTGAAAGACTTCAGCCACCAGACATTTGAAAGCCTGTGCCCCATCTATCAAAGTCTTTGCAGAAACTGCCCGCATTCAATCCTTTTGGTTGTAAGAGTTTTGATCTTGGATTATTTTTTAAAATTTCAACACTACTGGCTTCTGTGTCATGTAACCAACACTGTGCTTTCGTGGTAATCACCTTGTGTAGATTCCACCAGGTGGCCTGACAATCTGATTTGAACAGCTGAGGTTCATTGCAAAATGCCAGCATGGATGTGCGCTCAAATCTTTTCCTTCAATAATTTAAGCACCTTTGAAGGCAAGGGTGGGAAGTATGTGACTCTCCATCAACTGTTATATTTAATGTCCCATCAGCTGTAATCCAAACAATCAATAGTGAGGAATAAGGGGAGGTATTAGTAGCTCAGATACATTCGGTGAATTACTGCTTTTCAGAATATGTCCATTTTGCAGCATGCCTTGGAACACTCCGTGCTTGCAAAAATATGTCCTGTAGTTACAGATGGAGGAGAGTAAGCCTGCCTTAATGTACAATAGCTTTTCCCAAAAAATAATCATACTGTATAATTGTCATCTCAGCAAGATTACTAACCCTTGCCGCTCCAGAACATTATCCAACTGTTTCCCATCATTTCATGACAGCCCGGTGACTCAGCTGGTGGTTCATCAAATCTGTATGCCTTGTTCAATTCCCCTCTCCCAGTCTCACATACAGAAGCCAAACTCAGGATGGCCAAGGCAGAAAAGAGAGCTTCTGCCGGGTTCACATCAAAGCCTAGTCATCACTTGCAATCTTATAACTCCCTAAGAGGCTGCAGCAATTGCCTTTTAGAAACATGTGGAGGTTGATTCTTCCCCCCCCCCCATTTGAAGTACTTAATATTTCAGGTCAAACATACTAGAAGAATTCTGTGCTTGTCTGTATTCTTATTTCTACAGGGCTCCAATACACTGAACACTAGCAAAAATCCAACAACCACCGCTTTCATCTGCAAACTTCTTTTGCTAAACATTTGCCTGTCAGAGGAATTACTGAGGGCTCAGTTCAAGGAATATGTGGGAAAGCAGTGCATAGACACGTATTTCAGGTCAAACATACTAGAAGAATTCTGTGCTTGTCTGTATTCTTATTTCTACAGGGCTCCAATACACTGAACACTAGCAAAAATCCAACAACCACCGCTTTCATCTGCAAACTTCTTTTGCTAAACATTTGCCTGTCAGAGGAATTACTGAGGGCTCAGTTCAAGGAATATGTGGGAAAGCAGTGCATAGACACGGGGGGGACGGGACAGTGCTGAGGCACCCTATTTGCTATTGTGTTTCTCTAAGTCATTGGCAAAGTAAATGTGTCAAAGAGGACTAGGATTTAAATTTATCTAGAAATCTACAGCAGGATTGTCCACCCTTTCCAATCAAACACTGTAAACAGAATACTCCTTTAACACGCTAGTGCTTCTTTTTCAAGTGAATGCGTGAGTGACTTATTTTAGAAATATTAATTAATTGCAATGAATGTCACTTCCTGGGATTTTACTTTCTACTGACTCTTGATATTTTTGTTGTCTATAACCAAACATGTCTATTCCATTTAAAAGGAAAGGAAAGAGAGGGGGGAAAAGGCAATCTACCTTCCTGTCTAGATCAGCGCTGACTGTCTCCTCAGAACTTCCGGCAGAGGACTATCTCAGCCTTACTTGGAAAAGCCATGGACTGAACCCAAATTTGATGAACTCAGCATGTGCTTTACACTGAGCAGTATAACCCTTTTCGAACAAACAAACACAAAAGAAAGGAAATTAAACACACTAATGACAAACTTTTTTTTGGAAAAAAAGAACATTAATTTATTACATTTTGTGTACCAACCTTTTTTTGCTTTAAAAAATAATAGAAGTAGAACAAAAGTGGCATCTTGGGACACCTACCTAAGGATGTATACAAAACATGACATCTACTTCCAGTCTATAGCCACATCATACCTGCTTCCAGGTTATGACTCATACATTGCAAACAACTTTTAAAAATGAATATAAAACCTTTAAATGGGAAGTAGAAAGCGGATAGCAAATTACAGTATATAAATACGTTCAAAATAATTTTATTTCTGGAAACAACAGTTATGCTAAGTGACCTGACTGTTTTATATTATTTATAAACAGCATGAGGCACAGTGCAGAAATATCAAGTATATCACTGAATGTAAGGCAATTTAGAGCAACCAGTCTTCAGATATGCCAAAACCTACAAAACAAATTGCTTTCTATTTCCACATCTGGACAACCATTAGACTACATATGTGAGTTGTGTTTCCAAACAACTACTTCAAGCTTTTTAACAAGACCCTTTTTTACTAAACTGTTACCATGTACACGTGCTTGTATGCCACTGATTGGTTTAATTTTCGGTAGCCATATGCATCCGTTTTGCAACAGCAGTAATTAAGGCAGCTCCCTTTCCGCTCCCATCTTCAGACAGCATGAATGTCACGTCACACTGAGGTGCCAGCTCTTTCACAGTTTCTTGCAAGATCCTAGAAAAACTAAATATGGGGGGAGGGGGAGGGGAGAACACAAACAATTACAAGATAATTATTGTTAACTATCTGCTAGCTACAAAATGCTCATCATTATACTTGCTAAGATTTACCCCAGGGCTAAGGAATTTGCGACCCTACAGATGTTGATGAGAAAATTCTAGATCATTCTGGATGATAGGAAATGGTGCCCAACTACTTCTGGAGGGCACAAATTTCCTGAGGCTGAGGTATATGGCGGGAGGGTTTTTGCTCCAAGATTTGTAGAAAGTGTGGATGATACATAACTCTCCCTACAGAATAGCTAGGCTATTCAGGAGCTTTCCCCATCTTCAGCATCATCCAGACATCTTCCATCATCCTATGCATTCTGTTGCCTGGTGACATTTGGAATTATAATCCAATATACTTGATGACTGACAAACTGGGCAAAGTTGCCATAGAGGATAAGGGCGAAATGGCATGGTTTGCTTGTAAAGCAGAGCATCTTACTCTTCACCATGGTTGTGAACAGATTGTTAATGAAAAGCATTCACAAATGAAAGACCGAAAATGGAGGCACTTGGAGACATTATGGCAGGGGGCGAAGACTAACCCTCCTTGCCATTATGACCTTGACCACAAAAATCAAGCAGTTATCATCCTCATCACTTCTCGGCCTTTTGGCTAAGATCAGGCTAAGATGTACCCCAGCAGTTATCAAGCAGTTATCATCCTCGTCACTTCTCGGCCTTTTGGCTAAGATCAAGTGTAGTATCCTCATTTCTACTTTTTGGGCACTCAGCTGTTTGATGGAATGTAGGAGGAGTGGCCATTTTAAATGCAGATGACTTGTTTCATATCTAGGGAATTTAAGTCAACAACTCCATCCACCCATTCTGCGTTGTCGCCATGCTCATTTGAAACTGAAATCATGAATATATTTTCTTAGGCTGTGACTATGCAGCAATGGAAATGCGAATTAACTCGCCTTCTCTCACTGCAAAGTCGCACTGGGTATTCCGTTCATTCTGATATCAGTGGCCATCGAAGCAAAGGAAAAATGCTTTCTGCTTGCAGTTCCATCAGGAGTACCTGCGGGTGGCGCAGTTCAGAGGAACTGCCTAACAAAGGCTTTCCTCCCAAATCACTTCCTAGAGAGTTCTTGAGCTGCCAAAAATAAAAACGAACGAATAAACCGGTTGGTGGGGGGAACAGTTGGGTTTTTTTTAAAGAAAGAAATGGCAGCTTAGAGGAGCGGATGATTTGCGGAGAGGTGAATACTGGCACAGTGCATGTGTATGCACACACTCTTTATCCCTGTTATTGCCCCCCTGACTCACACAAACACATAACTCCCTGTGATCTCATTAGAGCCACAATCTCATTAATCAGCAGCAATTTGCTGCAGTGCCTTGTGTGATTTCATGCCTTTATCAATTGCCAAGTAGGATTCTGGCCAATGCAGTACTTCTCTATAAAAGCCTTGGAAGGGTGATAGAACTGCTTTGATAGCGAAAGAAAAACATCATTCTTTTACTTTTCCCCCATCAAACCATGAGGAGAGATTTGTGTTACTCAAAAGGAATGCCATTTTCTCTTCTGTACAGAGACTATGCAACACAAGCCAGCACATGGACCTCCTTCCCCATTTAGGAATGACTTTCATGAGGTCTTGCGAAGTGCAAATTCATGAGCAGTCAGGATGTTCAGGTCAATAATCAAGAGAATAAAAAAGCATAAATAACACATTTGCAAGTTGGATAAGAGAAGAGATAGTTCGGTGGTTTAGATATCTGGCTGTGGAGCCAGAGGTTGGAAGTTTGAGTCCCCCTCAGTGCCTCCTTGACAAGAGCTGGACCTGATAGTCTATAGGGTCCCTTCCAGCCCTGCACTTCTATGATGATGATGATCATAATGATAATGATTACCATGCCACAGAACTATACATACAACATAAAGCATTTCTTCTTACACCACAAAAGAAATGCTATTATCACTCACTGAGATCCAACTGTATGATAACTTAATTATGCCTTAATCACCAGCAAAATGAAAATTGTTATGGGTAGATGAGTGAGGGAGAAAGAACCAAAACAAAAACCTTGGCAAGTCTTTGGGTCCAAGTCCCAAGTCCGAGTCCCTATTAAAAACAAGCTTTTTTTCTCTGGAAAAAAAAAGGGATGGGTGGGTTCTGAGTCACAAGTCAGGTCCAAGTCATTGAAAAAAAACACCAAATCGAGATTGAGATGAGTTACTGGTGTGTCCTAAGCCCGGCTTGACAATGAGTCCTTCAACTTGAGTCCCCATCCCTAGAAATAAGCACATTTTCTGGCCATGGAATGCCAACTAATTCTTGTGTTTATGAATGGAAAACTATGGGCGAATGGGATGGACTATCCTGATAAAGATTACCAATTGCTCCTCTTCTGGGACCCTGAATACAAGCACTTGCTACAGTATGTCAGTATTTTCTTGCTAGTCAAACTTGTATACTGTAAGGAGGCAAAAAGCAGAAGTTTCTCCAACAGTTATAATCTCAGTCTTCCTTAATACAATCAGGTCAGCTGGGATAGCATGATGGCAATTTCTTGACTTTCATACTTTTTCTTCCCATCAGTTAAGCAAAACAACTAAGCAACACGCTATGTAACTTTTAAAAATTAGTCAATACAACAAAGCCAAAACAACAACCCTGACCCACACAGTCCACTATCTCAAATACTCACTGTGGATGTAGCTTGTACAAGGTCCCGTCCACACCCACGGTGATTTTCAAGTGCTCCAAGTTTCTGTTCTCCTGTATCTTCTCTACTACAGCAGCGAGTCCAGCTCCGCAAAGTTGGGCAGCTCTCTTGGAAACGAAGCCACAGACCTTCTTTACAATGATGCTGTCATCACAGGTGCTATCCAGCCCAAGCTCCTGCAGGATTCTCCTTACTTGAAGCAGAGCAAGTCGGTCACTGTAGTCAGACAAAACACAACATGCACCTCTGGTTAGCTTGCAGTTTTCGCAGAAACAGCTGGAAACTAGCATGGGCGGGAGAATACAAAACCACGTAGCTAGAGAGGCACATTCACACGCTGTCTACCTCACCTCCTCAGCATTAGCACCCTCTCCTCTCTAGCTATGTCACCCTGCTATTTAAAAAAACATAATTTTATAGAATAAATGAAACTCTGAAGATAAGAGTGTATTTTGCTTATCACCAAATAACACAGTTAATCTCTAAGGAATGTTTACTTTTTGGACACAATATAAACCAAGACTCAATGGACTCAATATACAGTGCTGCCTCGACTTACGAACATCTTGACTTGTGACCGACTCGGGTTACGACCAGCTCCAGTCGCAGAATTTTGCTTTGATTTTCAACCAGTGCTTTGAGGTACGACCGGAAAAAAGGCTCCCTCCCTCCTTCCTTTCCTGCCCTTTCTTTTAGCCTTAGAGGTCACCTTAGGTTAAAAAAAGAGTCTCCCCCTAGTGGACGGAGTAACGGCTCTTGCATTAGTTCCTATGGGAACTAATGCTTTGAGATACAACCAGTGACTTGAGATACAACCAAAAAACAGCCAAAACGGATTAATCGCGTTTCAATGTATTCCTATGGGAAATGGTGCTTTAAGTTACAACCAACTTGAGTCACGACCATAATCCCGTAAAGAATTAAGTTCGTAACTCAAGGCACCACTTAACTATCTCTATGGATTCAATATAAACCAAGGATTCTTAAGCCATTATTAAATATAAAATGCTGAACCTGCCATAATTTGTGGCTATATTCCCTTACTAACTACCCAGTGCGGTCTCACATACCCCATCAGCAATTATGATACCGTTTCCCCGAAAATAAGACCTAACCTGAAAATAAGCCCTAATATGATCTTTCAGGATGCTTGTAATATAATCCCTACCCCAAAAATAAGCCTCAATTAAGTGAAACCCCATCCTCCACCATTGTGCAGCCACCAGAAGATGACATGACTGTATTTGAATAAATGTAGATTGTTGTGCATCAAAAATACAAAACATCCCCTGAAAATAAGCCCTAATAAATTTTTGAGCAAAAATTAATATAAGACCCTGTCTTATTTTCAGGGAAACATGGTACTAATTCCCATTGTTCCCCTTTGTTATCTATAGCCTAGGATTAATTAAGCCACTAATCATTGTCATTGTTTATTGAACAATGCTTCTTAGAAGGGGAACTGAATGTTTGTTGCCAGGTGTGAAATGTGACATTGTCAACTACTTCTGCCCCGGAAACAATCAGTCTCTTTGTTTTGGGGCCAGGTATAACTGTATAAATATTTGCCATGCAATCCCACTCCCATGTGTGAGGAAGTGGACTTGTCCACAAAAACTCACAATAAAATGTAACAGTCGTTAAGGTGCCACAATATTTTTGTCGTCTTTTTTTTATTATTTTGGCTTTGTTTTTTCCTGGCATGCTAGACACAGACTAACATGGCCACCTCTTCTAAAACTATATTTTTGGACTATAACTCCCAGAATCCCTAGTTAGACAAGAACGTAAGAGCCCTGCTGGATCAAGCCAAGGGCCCATCTAGTTCAGCTTTTTGTATCACCCAGTGGTCCCACCAGATGCCTCTGGGAGCACACGAGACAACTAGATACCTTTCTCCTGATACCCCTCCCCTGCATCGGGCATTTGGAGATACGTTCCTTCTAAGCCTGGAGATTGTACATCCCCATCATGGCTTGTAATCTGCAATTGACCTTTCCTCCAGAAATCCGTCCATTCCCCTTTTAAAGGCATCTAGGCTAGATGCCATCACCACATACGTCTCAATCATGTCACCCCTCAGGCGCCTTTGGGAAAACTCTCAGATTATTTCCTCATCATGTAGAATATATTTAACAAGCTTTCTAATGTTCAGTTTCTCGGCAGCTTTTAAGAAAGATACAACATATATCTTTTTTGTTTATTATTTATTTATTTATTCCTTCCCTTCTCCCAAAAGAAAGCACTCAAGGCATCTTACAAATTTCTTAAACAATTACAAACAGATAAGAAAATGACTGGAAGAGATGCTTAAATAGGAAAATGCCAAGTACGGCAGTGTATGATTTTACCTTTCAATCTGAGACAAGAATTTTGTCTCAAATATTCCTCTTTTTCTCAAGGTTTCTGAAATCTGACCTTTGAAGAGAAGTCCTTTCTTGGTCAAGTCAATTAGGATTTGTCTCACTATTTCACCCAAGTACATTCCACTTGTCATCTTTTCATACCTTTTATAGGAAAAAAGAAACATTTTGATCTGGTTAACCTTTTTGAAGTGCTGCAATACACAGGATGATAAAAGGGGCTGAAGGTGTTAGAACATTAAGAACTTGTGCCTGAGCTTTCTTGTTTTCCTTTTCCCTAACCCCTCTTCTCTTCATGCCATGTATATTTTCATCTGTAAACCCAAGAAGAAGAATTGTCTTATATTTCAAAATAAAACAATATGTAAACTCTTTTAGGCTTCTCCAGATGGCACATTTATTTTCCTAAGTGTACCCAATTGTAAACTAACAACATCGGCATTTCTATTGCCACCCAGAGGACACCAAGGCTTAAATCCATGCCAGCATGGCAGAGTCACAAAACCTTGGTTTCCCCTGTTTTTTTAAAAAAGTCCCTTGTAGTGTTTTCCCAGCATATAATCATACCTTTGCATCTTAGTTTTGAAGCCTTCAGTGTTAATTTAATCCACTGACAACAGCTACGACTACAACTACAATACCAGCAGAGAAGATCATTTGTAAATGGTTTCTTCAGCATTTTTGAAGGAGTGATTTTAGCAGTGGTGCTATTGTACTGATCTGCTAAAACAAACAGAATCCAGCACAGAAGATCCAGTTCCATCTGGATGGGGATTTTGAGGGTCTTTTTTAGCTGTAGAGCAGGGTATAAGTGCACTCTGTAAATAACCTGCTGACTAACTAATCTGACTCTGAAGATGGGGTGGGCATGGTAGCAACACACCTACATGTTCAAATGCAGGTTGCCATGAACAAAGAGAGATGGTGGTACTGACTTCCAGAGGAAAAGAGTTCCCCAAGTCTCTGTGTGTATCCTCATTAGTCTCAAAATGTTAGAATAGTAATACAACATCCACTCATACCTCTGTTTCCCAGGATTCAGTGACCCCTCATCCACTTCTATATCATATGTTGTCCTGAGATCATCTATACAGCCATTGTCACCAAATCCTCCCCATTCTGTATTGATGCACATCTTGCCTTCATCTCCTTCCACAATCTCTATATTTTTCATATCTTCCATGTAGCACACATTACTGCCTGTCCCTGGAAGAAAAATAAAAGACATGCACATTTGATTTGATTATATCAGCTAAGTATCTAAAATGGGAAACTGGAAAAGGAAGAAATTTTTCCTGAAGCTCTTCTCTGAGTAGTGCTGAATAGTGAGGGGCTAAAAATGATGGCTGCAGTCCAGACAAGCAAAAAGTAAGCCGTTCAAGTGCTGACTTGGAAGATGGCCAGGAACTTCTACCAGAGGGAGAACCATGACTAAGACTGTTGAATCATAAACAGTAAGGTCCTGTGGTACCTTCAAGATCACCAAATTTATTAGGGCATATGCCTTTGTGGACTAACTCCCACTTATGGCATAATAAATTTGATAATCTTTCACATGAGTGGTTTCTGGGTTAAGAAGGGTGGGTGCCTTTTGGAAGTGAGGTGCCATCTCTGCTCTGCTCCTTAAAGTGACAAATATATTTGTACCTATATGTAATTTTATCTTCTTACAATAAGGCTGGGAAGCCTTTGGTCCTCAGGATTGCTGTGTATTCAGAACCTTCAAGATAACAAGCCAGAAGTTGAGATTTATAGCATACACATGTTATAGTTGGGGGCACATTATATATAAGTATAATGTTGCATGGAATTATTTGTTAATTCTGTTGTTCCAGTTACAGTGCCACATACGGGTATTCCTGATAAAACTGATGGCTTCCATGATTTTATTAAGACTCGCAAGATTCCTCTGTCAGGGACAGTCATCTTATACTCACAAAGATACTATATACTAAAGTCTGAAATTAGGGATGGAATAATCTTTGATAGAGCACACACTCAATGGCAGAGCATGTGTTTCATATATAAAGTATACTTGGTTTGCTCCCTGGCATTTCCATTTGGAGCTGAGAAAGACCCAGATTGAACCTAGAGAGCCACTACTAGACAATGGCCAAAATCCTAGCGTGTATTTCTAAATGCAGGAGGCAAAGAGCTTGGCTTGCAGCAGTTTCTCATTGCTAAATAAGAAGTCCTTGATTGGATCTTCTGCCACATATGCATAAGAGGGACTAATTACTTGCCAGCAAAAAGCCACTGCAAAGTTATGCCATTTGCATTCTGCAGGTGTAACTACACATTAGGATTTTGGCCAGTGTACAGTCTACACTGTAAATAGTACTAAGCTAGATGGGCCAATAGTGTGATTAATCTCCTGTGTTCCCAACCTCTTCACAGGTTCTTAAATTAAGATAATATTAGCTAAGATAGATACATATGAATGCAAGTTATGTTTCTTCATCTTACCACGTTATCCCTCCAAGCACATAGATCTTCCGCAGCTATCTGCCTGAGGACTCAGAAGTGAAAACAAAGCCATGCTTATTTCCCCGTGATCAATTTAATGATAACAGCAAGCTAATTTTCTATCAAATGTGGAGGCTGGCTTGTTTTAGAATAAACAGCCAGTTTTTTCCTCTTAAGAAAGCTATGTTTAGAATAACATGTTACAGTAAATGTACAACCTAGTTTGACCCCCTACCAGCAAAGCTTTTATGCCAATGGGGGCATCTGTTTTTGGAATAGATAGTACGGCATACAGTCAACTCTACAAGGAGGAAAAATTAATGTACTTCCTGAAATAACCCCTTTAGAGGGAGGCTGGCATAGCTCTTTTTCTTTCCAGAAAGCATATGCAGTAACAATACACTCTTTTAACAAGAAATAGAATGAATCACACTGTTGTGCACAGTCAATAGCTTTGGGACAACATGACGTCTTTGGTGAAACTCAGTCCAAAACTCCAAAGCAATGACACCTCAGCCACTTTTCCTTACTGACCCACTGATCTGTAAAGGTGATCGCTGTCTTCTTGTCTTCTGAGACCACTGCTTTCTTACCAGTGATAGCAAAAAGTCTCTCCTAACCATCATCAATCCCAAGACTACTGTTTTTTCCACAATCAGCAGTAAAGAGAAAAAGAAGTTACTTTCCTGTAACTCTGGTTCTTTGAGTGGTCCTCTGTGAATTCATACTAATGGGTTAATCTGTGCTCAGGCAGAGCAGTTTCAAAACTTTCACAGCTTTAAGCACTTAGTGCTGGGACCTCCCCTACACCAGTTATACTATATAACTTCACCCCCGGCACTAGTGCCTCAGTTCTAAGGAACCGACCGCTGCTGCTCAGCATGCCATGCCACATGTGATGGACAGTGGGGGCAGGATGTGTGAATTCACAGAGGACCAGGGGGAGGGCAGGATGTGTGAATTCACAGAGGACCACTCAAAGAATCAGAGTTACGGGTAAGTAACTTCTTTTTCTCCTTTGTGGCCTCTGTGAATACACACTAATGGGTGACTGGCAGGTTGCCTAACCAGGAGGAGGGACATCACGGAAATGCAGAAGCCAGGACAGCTTGACGTACTGCAGCCTCAGCCTTCGGCCGGACATCCAGGTGGTAGAGTGAGATGAGGATAGGCGGAGTGGCGCATGTGGCAATGCGGCAGACATCTGTGATGTCCACTCCACAGAGAATGCAGCAGACATCCGTGATGTCCACTCCACAGAGAAAGGCTGTTGAGGATGCCAAAGCTCTAGTAGAGTGAGCTCTCACTGACTTTGGAAGAGGAGTCTCTGAGAAATCATAGGGAAGACAGATGGTCTTGACTAACCATCTAGAGATGGTCTGAGAGGAAGCCTGTGCTCCGAAGGAGGAGCCGGCAAAGGTGACAGAGATGCTGTGAGGCACGAAAAGTGGTCGTGCTGTGCACATAATGCAACAGAGCACACTTCATGTCTAGAGAGTGCAGAGCTATCTCAAGCAGTGAAGATGGTGTGGGAAAGAAGACAGGAAGGACAGCTGGTTGGTTCAGATGAAAGGCAGAAAATACCTTAGGCAAGAAGGTAAGGCCTGGCTGTAAGGTTACCTTTGAGAAAGGAGGACCCACTCTTAGTGTAGCCAAAAGAAGGTAAGGCCTGGCTTACCTTTCAGAAAGGAGGACCCGCTCTTAGTGTAGCCAGTCCTCCAGTCCTGCAAGCTAAGGTTATTGCCAGGAGAAAGGCAGCAAGCGGAGCGATGCTGACGCCAAGGGTTTGCAGGTAGAATGGGCCAGTCCCAGGCAGAACAAGTGAAGGAGAAACTGAAGGAATGTGTCCAGAGACATTGGCCTAGTAGGCAAATGTCATCTTGATGCAAAGTGACAGAACACCTATCCATTATAGGAGTAGTGATGGTAAGCACCCATGGCAGAGGACTAGTTGGCTACATGGTGGCCAGAATATAAAAACGCCGACCAAAGAACTCCTTATCTGTTAATAGTAAAGGAGGGTGACTAACTGCAGCAACTGATATGGGAGTAGGAAGATTGGTTGGAAGTCTTCCTCCCCTTCTGACTCTTTTGAGTCCCAGCTGAATAAGTTAAGTCCTTCAGATGATTAGGGGAGCAGTCTTTCTTAGCATGAGCCTGACCAAACTCAGTCTCAATACAGTTGCCGGGACAGAGAAGGCTGAAAGGGCTAACAGTGAATTAGGTTGAACCCGCGAACACTTTGCTGCCAGAGCAGAGTTCGAGGGAGCATTACACCTTTCAGGCATAGGTGGAGGTACAAAGCACTCCTTAGCCCATGGCTCAGAACAGTGCCAGGTGGAGTGGGGCAGTGGTGGTGGCAGAAAGGTGACGGAAAAGGCTCATAGCTCCTGTACCAGATAAAAGGGACTGGCTCTGCATGAACTTGTTGGTGTGATAGGACCCTCCTGAGGAAATTACTTGGGTCTATCTGACAGTAGCAGGGTTTTAGGGTTGACTCCTATGAGTCCTTTCCTTACGAACCTATGCAGGTGCCAGTGGCTGAGGTGGGAATGCACGCTACTGCATAAACAAGCCCGTTGATAGAGGGTTGTTTTGTGCCAATTGTGAGCCACCAAGCAAGTGCTACCCCAGACAGGAATATCACTGACTAGCAGGGCTAGCAGTGGGACCTGCAGCCCCTCCCCCTTTTTAAAGGCAAAGCTAGGGCTGCTAAATGTTGCCCGAAAGCTCTTGCTTTGGAACCTAGCTGATTTTGGAAATAGCAGTTGTGTGAACAAGCCCATTGATAAATGAGGGCTGTTTTATGCCAAACCACCCAAAGGAGCCACCGCAGTCAGGCATATCACTGACAGATAGGGCTGGCAGCGGGAGCTGAAGGGGGCCCATTCTATCCCCAAAGGCAAAACCAAGGCTTACCTTATTTTGCCAGAACATCTACAGCCTCGGTGCACAGCTTTCTCTGGAATTAGTAGCCATATGAACGAGCCCACAAAGGAGGGCTGTTCTGCGCCAACCTCACACAGAGGCATTTCCCCCATGTCAGGAGAATCACTGACAGGCGGGGAAGGTGGCCAGTGCTGCAGGAGGCCCTTTCTTCTCCAAGGGTAAGGCTGCAGATGCCCAACTCACTGCAGGTTAAACAGCTGTATGAATGAGCCCCTTGATGCAAGAGGGCTGTTGCATGCCAACCTCACACAGAAGTTTTTAACCCATGTCAGGAGAATCACTGACAAGCAGGGATGGCGGCCGGAGCTGTAGGCGGCCCTTTCTTCTCCCAAGGGCAAAGCTCAGAAGCTGTCCTCTTCTTTTGATAGAAAGAGGAAGATTGCAAACAGGTAGAAAGCTGTTGCTCTTGAGCCTGGGGGTAACCTTGCTAAGTAGGTAAGAGAGACCTTATGTTTTTAAGAGAAAAAGCCCTGAGGCTCTAAAGCTGGCTTTGTAAAGCCTTAGCAAAGAACAGCTAATGCCGGCTAGTACTTTTCCCCCCAGGCAGAAGAAACAACTTGTTACAGAAGAAAGAACAAGGGAATCTCGAAGAAAGGAAAGGAATAGAATTGTTTTTACTTGCAAAGTTCCAAAGGAAGCTGCTACAACAGCAGCGGTCAAAAAAACAACGGAGGCACTAGTGCCAGGGGCGGAGTTATATAGCTGGTGTAGGGGAGGTCCCAGCACTAAGTGCTTAAAGCTGTGAAAGTTTCCAAAACTGCTCTGTTCAAGCACAGATTAACCCATTAGCGTCTATTCACAAAGGCCACGAAGGAGAAACACCTATTAAAGGGTCAGACTAGACATGTCGAATTAGCAACAATAGAATTCCCACAAAGATAAGTGTCTGGGCAATTGGATGTGTAAATAAACCCCGTGTTTACCTAGCAAAGATCAATCGTGGAATAAGGTTTTCTGGAATGCAAGAGCTGAGTTGGGTGGAAGCACTTGTGTTGATAATCAGATGTCTCACATGGTTTCTAATGACGTCCCATCATCATTAGAATGATTTTATCTAATTTTATCCTCAGTGGCAATCACTGCTAAAGGATCTTGTTTCCACACAGCCCACAGCAAGTCCCAGATGTTGGTGGCCAACAAATAAATACTTCAGTATTCCCCTTTCTATGCACTGTGGTGAGGGTGGTGGCTACCGTGTGCACACTTACGCTTTACCATCACATTGCTAGTTTTCACTGGCAATCCATTAGATTAACTGTGACTTCAATTCAAAAGGAATTTTAAATGTGTTTATGGTCAGTGTGATATTCCACTGCTTACCAGAACATCCATATCTAATATAATATTTACCTGCAATAAGTCCAATTTCACAATTCGGGTCCTCATAACCACAGGTCATCATTGTCCCAACAGTGTCATTCACAACTGCTACAATGTCTAAATCAAATTCCTGAAACAGAAAACACCTTAAATGAATCTATGGATAATAAGAAACATGTTGCAATGTGTTATGCATTTAAAATTAATTATATATTTAAAATGCAAATCTGATTATAAGTTCCTTTGCACAGCAATTTAACAACGAGCAGGGCACTCTGGACCATCCCACAGTACTTTTGTTCTGAAACCTTTTGATATTTTTTTTCTTTGGTGAAAAAATTCTGTAGGGTCTCAATCCAGACTAGAAACACATTACAGATTGGGGGTCCCTAACAGCTACCTTTCTTCAGACAAATGAGATTCCATTGGTGGGTGTTCTATGAGACTTACATTCCTCCGTTTAATAGCTTCTCGTAGCATATCAACAACATCTTCACCTTCACAGTCTGTTGCCTTGAAACCTTTTGTCCATCCAACAAGTGTTCCCTAGAGTGGAAAAGTTATTTTAAAAATTACAGTTGAAAGATGTTCAGCAAAATGAGATTTTAAAAAAAGATACTGCACTTAAAGATGCATTATCTTTTCAGGAGAGTCTCACTTTAACCAACTACATTTCAGAAGAAAAATTTCAATAACTCAGCTGTTGCCTCTGACAGAGAGGATAGTGCTTCCTGGAAATCCAGGGCTAGGGAGCGTTGAAAGGGCAAATCCTTAGTTTTCCAGATTATTAGGATTTTGTTTTTATTGCTAAAAATGGGGTGAAGTGTCTGTCTCATGTAGGAAAACAACAGGGGTGCGCTTTGGGTAATGTGAATCTTCATTTTGATAAGTGGTACGCATGGATACATCATCCTGTTCTACTCACAAGACACTGATGGCATGTGGAAAACTCTACCTCCTGTTCTACTCCCTAAACAGAATGCTTGAAGATAGACAGCTCTGCCTGGACCAGAGAGCATGAAACGACACCCTTGTCTTCTATCACAACATGATGATGGCAAAGATCATTTGAGGAAATGAGTGTTATATGAATGTGCCCTGTTCTCCTTTGTATTCCATTCAATAGAAGGAATGCTTGTAGTGGTAAACCTTGTACTAGCCCTAGAAAGTGAGGAAAATGAAGCTTTGGCTAATATTATGTGTGACAGTGTATCCCATTGGAACTGGGATACAATCTATTTAAAACAGAATAAACCATTTCCAGGTGACAAGAGGCAAACCAGCTCCTGGGACACTTAAAGGGTCACACCCACCTTGCATCTGCCATTTGGGGACTTGAAATAAAAAAAATTTAAAAAAGACTTTCTATATGAAGATCTGTTCAGCCCAATTCAAAGAACAAACAAAACAATAGGCCAAGATCAAGAGTCCGCTCACTCTGATTACCTTATCAATGCTTGCTTGTTTACATGGGAAAGAAAATGTAAAGCCAAGGGGAAGCTGGGCACCCTTAATCCCCATATACTCCAGAAAGTCTGCAATACACTGGACAATGTGATCAAATAGCTGGGGAGGAAAACAAAAGAAAGAAGGAAAGAAAGGCAACATACAAAATCAGTATTTCCAATGTTTTTAGATCAACAACAACAAAAAACAGAATTTTTGTTTGTTTTTACTTTACCTCTTCTCCTGTTCCTTGCATAATTTCCAAAGGGATGGCAAAGATTTTGTTGTACATTCGGACTGATTTGCTCCTTCCACTTCTGAGTTTTACAAGTAAAACTCTGAAATTTGTTCCCCCAAGATCAAGGGCTAGGAACTTCCCCTTTTCTGCAACAGAAAACCAATTACTATTTTGACAAAAATCTTTCTCAGCCCTCACATAGAAATACTACTGGAAAATTGTAACCAAGCTTGCTGAACGAAGCTTCCCATTTTTGAAAAATGAGTTTTAAAAAAAGAAAAAACTTATAAAAGACCCAATGAATTCTATGAAACTTCATCCTGTTGCTTGGTAAAGTAAGTCACTATCATGTAGATCCATAAGAACAGTGGGAATTTATTTATTCAGGCATCTATCTATAGGGGACCCAAGACAGCTCACAACTATCAAAATCATACAATAACAAGTTTACTATGCCATACAAAACTATATATTAAAATACTGGTCAGAATTAACAACAGTTTTGAAAACATTTTAAAAGCATTTTAAAAAATCAAAATTTTAAAAAAAGAGCACTTGCTAGACAGCACCACTGCAGTAAATGTGTCAATGACAGCACGTATTTCCCAGTGAGTCATTGGGTACAAATGCACAGACACCCCTTGGAAGTTACTCAGCCATAGTGTACATAAAGGAAATTAAAAGTCTGTTCTTGAAATTTTGAGACATCCGGACAGGACCAGGTGGAGATCCAAGTTCTTCGAGGAACCCTACCTGTCCCATCTGGCATTCCGCAAACAAATGTTGGCAACATTTTCACCGAGGCTGTTGGCTGGGTTTCTTTCTTCAGCCCATATTCCAGTTCAGCCCTCATTTTGTTTTTGACATCTATGAGGTTCTCTTTGGTTAATCTGAAATGTGCCAAAACTTCATCGATTTGTTTGCGCTGAGATAACAGTCTGCACGCGACGGCAGTTACCATCGCAGCTCCCTTCCCGCTGCCACTCTCAGAGAGCAGAAACCGAACGTCACAGGTGGGGACCAGCCGTCTGACCACTTTGTGGAGACGCTTGGCATACCTGGAAGGAGGGAGAAAATATTTTAAGTTCTTGTAGATACTGCATGAAAAATCCATTCCAATCTCTCCAGTCCAGAGTTTGAAACGTTATTTTTTATGATCTAGAACTCCCAGAATTCCTCAGCCAGCACGACCAGTGGGAAGGGGATTCTGGAAGTTACAGACCAAAAAAAAGCAATTGTTCAAGGCTCTGCAAACCAACAAAGAAAATGTTTTGGATAACATCATGAAGTCTGCACCACTTGAGTGTTCTGCATTTCCCCCTGGAGACAGCTAAAGCCCAAGCATTTTTCTGAATGTCATAAAATCTTATTTAAACAAGTCTTGAGGGACTAGGGGTGACTTTTCAAGGATTGACAGCATTTTGCCAATCATGTTAGCTCCAAATATGGATCATCGTTTTAAAAGGATAGTCCTTCTGGGACTCTAGGGATGGAGGCAATTATAATCCACTTCTACAGTTACCGCTTCTCTGTTCAGCATTTTGAGAGAAATAGAATGACTGCTGGGGAAAAGGAGGAAGCAGGGAGATCTGCTTCCACCATAGCTACTGCACAGATCTATAAATCTGAATCAGAGTAGTTCAGAAAGAAAAACTCCTCCTTTCTCATATTCTATCTCACATCTTAGCTTGTCAAATATCTCCAGGAAGCTCACCAACCAACCCAATCTAATGCAGTAAATTAGAAAGTTTTTACTTACTGAGGGTGTGTTTTATACAGTGTTCCATCCATTCCAACTGTGGTTCGGAGCCTGGTCAATTTTTTGTTTTCCCGAAGGCGGGTCAGGATTGCTGCCAAGGCTGCAGCGCAGAGATTCGCTGATCGAAATGAAACAATAGTGCAGACGTGCTGAACGGCAATGCAATCATCTTCGGAGGGAGTCAGACCCAGTTCCATTAGGATCTCTTTAGTATTGCTCAGGCCTTCTTTATATCTAGTCCAAAACAAAAGAATCAGAAATCTGCCTATAAGCATCATTTCAATGTTTGGAGAAAGGCAACCCATCAGAGGTGTGTGTGTGTGTGTGTTCTGCAGAAACAAGGTGTAAGCCACACTCTGTAGCAGCAGTGTGTGTGGACACAGTGCAGAGGGCAGTGCCCACTGTGGTTCATGGGGCAGAAGACGTCCAGCCAATGTTGGGCAGATCTAGGGAACCAGTCTCTATTAATAGTCTTGCTTTCATTCACACAACACATGGAAGCAAGGAAGTCTTCACATATGTGCAGTGTGCAGAAGGGCTTCTGCTTCTGGTAAGGAGGCAGGCAAGTGTGGGCTGTCTGAGACTAGCCTGAGGTAGGACAGTGCACCATTTGTCCAGTGTGTAAGACACCACTGATCAAAGGCTGCTGAAATTGGCTGTCCTTTCTATGCCATGGGGTGAGGGTAGAAGGTGGCTGCTCTGGCCTACCTATATGGGCTCTCTGAATGCAGCCTTTCCGTGCTGTATGTACAACTTCTGAAAGTTGCCACAGCAACAGCTAAAGCAGAAGACATTCAAACTGCCCTCACAACGATCAAGACTAGCCCCACATTTTGCTTTCAGAGGTGGGGTAGCCACTGCCCCCTGCTCTCTTTCTCTCCAAGTCAAAATGCATAGTAATCAAGGTTAGCCATTTACTGTAAAAGCTGAGAGGGTGGCCAAATCCCGCAAACATCTCTTCCCTCCCTGACAATAAAAATAAGGTAACAAATAGGGACTGCCTCATGGTCCATTCAAAGGAGGATGGCGTGGAATGGGACACGCACACTCTTGCTGTGATCACAAGCTGCCTGTGACAATAATAAGTTGAATAATTAAGAACTTGTTGCCCTTTCATAACACCTAAAATCAACTCCCTAAGGTGATGCCTCACTCCACCCAACAGCAGGGTCAACCATTTGGCAGTAGAATAGAAGCAAACTAGTTCCAGTGAACAGGGGAAAAAAATCTTACTTTTCCATGGCAGCTACATGTTTTGTTTCAATCTTGCCCTTGGTACAGAGAGCTGTTGATAACTTCCCATTGAAAAGCAAGCCTTCCCTTGCCATTTTTAGAAGAATAAGTCTTACAAGTTCTCCTAAATACAATCCACTGATCATCTTCTCAAACCTGTCAATAGAAAGCAGTCATTAAAGAATGGCCTGATCCCTAATGGTTTCTCACAGCAATTACTGTACAGTCATATAATGCTACTGCTATAAACGTGTAAGGTACTATATCATTGTGTGTAAGGGAAAGTGGTCAAATACTCTCTGATATTTTTTAAATGATAAATGACTGGCTTAATTTATCTATATTATTTTTCCTTCATAATGTTTTTTTAAAGACTATTGCTCTTTAACTTATCTTAAACTTCTCTTAAAGCCATTTCTAACCTTTCCTCAATTAAGCAGAACTTGAAAAGTTACTTTTTAAAAACTGTCCTTTATGGCTTTCATTAATATTATAATTGCAAAAGCAAAGAAACAAATGAGTACAGTGGTGCCTCGCTTAACGATTGCCTCATTAAACGACGAAACTGCTTGACAAGCGATCGCAAAACGATGTTCCTATGGGGAAAATTTGCTTAACGATGAACAGTTCCCTTCTTTGGGAACCGATTTTTCATTAAACAATGTTTCTGAAACAGCTGATTGGCGGTTCTAAAATGGCTGGGCGCTGTGCAAAATGGCTCCCCGCTGTGTTTTCAGGACGGATTCTCCGCTTTACAGGCAGCGAAAATGGCTGCCCCATGGAGCATCTTCACTGGACGATGAGTTTTCAGCCCATTGGAACGCATTGAACTGGTTTCAATGCATTTCAATTGGCTTTTTCATTTCGCCAGATGATGTTTTCGCAAGACAGCGATTTTCATGGAACGAATTAACATCGTCTTGCAAGGCACCAGTGTAGTTCATTCCATTACTACTTCCATCACTTGTTACTTTCACATTCCTTTTTTAGTCCCTTTAAATTCAAATTTTAAATGTAAAAATGTAACAAAAGTCCTTAACAGCCAAAATCCTACCACACTTTTATAGCGCCATAATATAGTTGGCACAAATCTTGGTGAATGACCACAAGTTAAGAAACTAGTATAGATGTTTGCTGTTGCAACCAGAATTGTGCAATTCCATTCACAGCAGAAAATATTTGTCCCGACTTCTTAACTTGTGGCAGTCGAAGGCCATGTTTATGTACATTGTGTTTTGCTGAGGGAAACACCTCACAGGATTTTGGTCCAAATTTAAAACTCTCAAAATGCTCTCCAAAGCCATGTTTACTCCTTGCAAATTTGTATCATGAGTAAATATTTGTCATGCAAAGAAACACCATAGCAACATTAATCATTATGTTATTACATGCTGCCAAGCTGATTTCTAACTTAAGGGTCATCCCTTTCCAGGGTTTTCTTGATATGAGGTATTCAGAAATGGGTGTATCCTTCCCTCCTTCAGGGAGTACTCTGGCACCATGTACTTTGCCCAAGACTTCACATGGAACTGAACCTCCAGCTCCTGGCTCAACAGCCAGGTGCTGCATCTGATTGAGCCATCCAGCTCGCTAATGATATGCTGTCACCATCCCACTAAGTAATAAGATACAAGCAATATCATAACTTTGTAATGTGTGGCTCCAACCTAACCAGAATCACCCTTTTAGATTTAGGTCTTACCACATTGTCTGCACACAAATATTTGCAGGGTTAGACTCTTCAAAGATGGTCTTGGCGCCTACTGACTATATTTGCACCAAACATATCCTGTATTGCTTGGTTCAACATTATGTCATGGTTGCTTTAAGATTATAGACATACCTAATGGCTTAATTATTAGAAAGATGCCTTGTACCAAACTGGTGAGCAAACTTACATCTGTTTCCCAGGATTGATAGACCCCAAGTCTATTTCCTTGTCGAATTCTGTCCTTATGTCATCCAGTGAGCCATCATCTCCAAATGCTCCCCATTCTGTGTTAATGCACATCTTTCCTTCATCACCTTCCACAAGGTCAATATTGCTCATTTCTTCCATATAGCAAGCATTCGTACCTGTTCCTGTGCCCACCAGATTCATTGGAGAGTGGGAGAAAATTACACAAAGAAGTGTCAACTGCATAATTTTTTAAAGGGATGTATCTTATTTATATCTTTCTGTACAAGCCCCTACAAGAAGTAAGATCTGCAGGCAAGCGCCTTCTCTTGATCCCACCACCACCACTTCCACAAGCACATTCAGTGAGCAGTCAAGAAGGGGCTTTTCCTGCGACTGCTCCCAGATTATGGACTTCCCTTCCTCATGAGGTTTGGCCAGCCCCTTTGTTCTTTCCATTGGCAATTGAAAACCTACTTCCTTAGAGAAACTTCTGGGGAGTCAGCAGGCAATTGAGATGATGAGGTCTTTTAAAATCTGCTTTGTTGCCTTTATTTAATTTATTTAAATACTAGTATATTATAGATTCAAATGCTACTTAGTATGCTTTTAGTTATTTATGGATTTTACATACATTTTTATAAGCCACCTTGAGACTCAACTAGGAGAGAAAGGTGGGGTATAAATCAATCAATTAAAATTTACTCCAATGATTTGTCACCCAAACTGTGCAAATAAAACAGCCGTGTCACATAACAGCTTAGTTACTATATTCACTGCCATTCTATAATTCGGAGAGCCTCAAACATAATACTCCCAGAAATAAAATGTAATGCAGAAAGTAAGATCTTAAAATTAGTTATTTTAACTGGCCCGAGAAAACAAAATGGTGTCTCTGTTTTCTAAGAAAGAAAAAAAGCTCTTCATCATGAATTCGACACGGACCTGTCGAATTCTTACTTTCTCTTGAAGCCTTAGAACACACAATTTCCTTTAAGCTCAGTCGGCAACCCCACCTCTTAGCTGCATGATCTAGATTTACCAATAATGACACCAACTTCACATCGCTGATCATCATAGCCACACGTCATCATTGTTCCGACTGTGTCATTTACCAAAGCCAAGACATCGACGTCAATGTCCTAATGGAACATATCAGTAAAATTGAAGATAAGATCTATCAGATTCTCTGTCATCTGTACAATCAACATTTTTTTTTTTTTGGACTTATATACCGCCCCATACCGCTACAAGCACTCTCCGGGCGGTTTACAGTTTAATTATGCAGGCTACACATTGCCCCCCCCCCAGCAAGCTGGGTACTCATTTTACCGACCTCGGAAGGATGTAAGGCTGAGTCAACCTTGAGCCAGCTACCTGGGATTTGAACCCCAGGTCGTGAGCACAGTTTTAGCTGCAGTACAGCGTTTTAACTACTGCAACATAATCCATAGTCACAGGGATGCAAATATGGGGCTGGATACTGCCACCACCCATGCCTTTCAACAGAGGGTCTTTGCTCTGCAAAGGAAGGCACAAGAAGATCAAGTCCCTCCAGTGTAAGAAAATGCTCCACAAGAACAGGTTTGTAAAAAGAGTGACTACAGCAGTTACTGACTGGACAGGATGCTGTACAGCAGAGACCAAGCTTGTATGTTGAAAGTGGGCGATGTCATTGTTAGACTGCAGTTCCCATCATCCTTCATCATTCACTACGCTGGCTTGGGCTGACAACATCTAAAGAAAGACATGTTCCCCATCTCAATTTAGGCATCTGGCTGCAGAGCCAGAGGTTGAGAGTTCAATTCCCCATTGCGCCTCCTTGACAGGGACTGGACACATTGATTCATAGGGTCCCTTCCAGCTCTGCAAGTTCTGTGATGATAAGGATGATTATCTCCAGCACATACCACAGTTATTAGAAAACATGAATAGTGATGGGTCTTTTTTTAAAAAAAATCAAATTGCTTATTCATTATTATCGCCACATCTTAACTCTGAACTTGCCTGGTGTTTCTCTAGGGCTTTACGGAGGGATCTCACCACATCTGTTTGCTGTACTCCTCGAACTTTAAAATGTTTTGTCCAAGAAATTAGCACACCCTAAGAAAAGGTGATATTTAACATTCTTCGTAATAACAGCAACAATAACAATAGTGTCATTGCTATGGTTTATAGAATGGTATAACAAAGTGACAGATCCCCTTTGTTATTACAGAAGTGGTGCACCACAATTACAGAATAAGATTTAGCATTGCATAATATAATTATGATGTACACTACATATAATCAATAGGAAGTCCTGTGTATACTTATCTAGGGGGTGGGTTTCTATGACATGTCATGTTTTTTTCTGCAACCTATGTTTGACCTTATGGGTGGGTTTGAACATGTTTATGAGTAATCTGGTGAGAAAGGCCTTACTTATGGGTTCAAATGTAGGTTGCAGAGAATATGTGAAACATTATAGAAGTCCTCCCACTACTTACTACCATTTTGGAATGAGCCCGAGACACTTTGCTGCCTGAGGCAGGGCAGCAAACGGTGTCCCTTATGCTGCATGGTGAGATCTGACAAGCAGGGCCATATTAACCCAGAGTCAGGCCCCTAGGCTTTCAGGTATTTCTGTGAGACACTTTCCTGGGCTTTCAGCTATTTCTGGCCCCCTTCGGCACTTGAGTCTTTCACCCCACTACAGCTGACAAAACCTAGGGCACCTCAACAACAATAACAACAAAAACTGATGGGCCCCTAGAACCTGCAGGGCTGCTATACTACAACTGACAAAACTTAGGGCACCTCAACAACAATAAAAAAAACTGATGGGCCCCTAGAACCTGCAGGGCTGCTAGGCTTCAACCTAGTCAGCCTTATGAACAATACGGCCTCGCCTACAAGTGCCTCTCCCCACTCTCTAGCATAATCATACAATACTACCGCATGGAATAACTAGAAAGTAGCTTCCCATGCATGACACACAGGATCTGGTGCCATCGGTCTTGTTCTGCTTACAAGCTGTGCTTGAAGAAAGTAGCTTCCCATGCATGACACACAGGATCTGGTGCTTGTGCCATTGGTCTTGTTCTGCTTACAAGCTGTGCTTGACTAAACTTATCTGACACATTCAAAGAGAACAAATGGAATAGACTTTTGTTGATTCCCGATTATAGTCAATGAGATGGACAAACAGCAGGGTTTCTGAATCAAGGAGAGCACTGATACCCTTGCTGTTAAGCAAAATGAGTGCTGTGAGACTACATGCATACTATTACATAATGTACATACTGTACTTACATATAGTATTCATTCATACACAGTCCTTTATACAATATACTGTACACCAAATAATGTAATGAATTCTAACTCTGGTGCCCCCTAGTGACTGATTTTTTTAAAAAAAAATGATGAGTGAGGGTGCTGGGTAAACATGGAAACACTTCCCTCCAACCCATGAGTCTTTCTGAGCAAACATTTTTATAATTAAAAATCATTACCATTAGCAGATCTAGCTTTTATCCTCCCCATCAGTAGCCATCACTACAACTACTGCAAGCACTCCGTGCTAGCATCTTAGTCCAATGTTCTGCTGAAGATGCACCCTGGTAATACGCCTGAAAATAGTCTCAGTCTTACCTCTGCTAATTTACGTTGCTTACAGGGAAAAGAAAAGGTAAAGCCAAGAGGCAGTTTCTTGTGCTTGATGTTCTTGGTCTCCATGAAGTCTGCCAGACAGTCTCCTACATACTGAAAGAGCTGCATCAAGATTTTTAAAAGTACTGATTATCATTCTGTAAATCATATATTTGCTGTATTACAAATCTAATATGAGTAGGATTCTTAATTAACTCCCACATAAAAAGTTTTTGCAATTCAAAAGGAGCACCAAATAAAACAAGGCTTACATCAGCAATATCTGTAGTCATGATGTGCTGGCTGGACAGCTCAGTGACTTAGGCACCTAGCTGTAGGGCCAGAGATTGGGAGCTTGATTCCTCACTGGGCCTCCCAAGAGAACAGCCAGCCTCTGTAGCCTTGGGCGTTTGGTCTCAGAGAGACCCCCCCCCCAAGAAGAAAAGAATGATCAATCACTCTCAAGTACTCTGCACCTAGAAAACCCAGCAAAGGATCCCTATAAGTCAGAATTGACTTGATGGCACGTTGTTGGTGCTGTCGACGTTGTTATAGTTACAATGAAATGCGGAACTAGTGTAATGCTATCAAAGTGCAGGCCTTGAACTATGAAGAATGGGAAGGCCCAGGTTTGAATCCTCATTTGGCCCTTAAATTCAGTGGGCCATTTGCTACTTCTAAGCCTGCCCTACTATTTACAGGGCTTTGGCGGTGACAGAAAACAATTTAAACTAGTGTATAAGATGAGATATAAATGCAGTAAGCAAATAAACAGCCAAGATGTTGACAAGGTCTGTGTAGCAGAGTACGTAGTAGGCTCATTGCCTTCGGCTTCCTAGATCCATACCTATTCTCAAGAGTTTCTTTGCATATGCAGTCAGGGTTGTTATTGTTTTTGTAAGCCATGCAGATTTCCAGATGGCCCTGCCATACCCTGAAGCAGGTTATTCCTGAAGAAAACAAAGCTGGACCTTTTGCAGACTTATAAACAAGAGCCTGCCTGAGATGAAGAAAAAAGTTGGCACCTCCTCCTGTGCCATTCATAAAAGCTGATGAGATTGTACAGTGGTTGAATATTAATTCTGCTCTGGTGACAGGACACCATGTGAAGAGCGAGCTTGGAGGGCACAGGGCAGGCTGCAGGGCGCCCAGTTCTCTCTTCCAGCGTCCTATCCCTGCCTCCTCCCACCATCTGCTGCATGAAAACGTTCCTCACTCTGCAGAAGGATAGGTTGGCCCTGCTTATAAACATTAAACATTAAAATATATGTGTTTTTTTGAAAATCTTCCTTTACATCTTAGTACACATTCAATCACAGACACCAAAGCCCAGATGAAAACTAAGTACACTTACATCTGTCCCATTTCCATGTATGATTTCTTTAGGTGTTGGATAGAATTGACTCTCCATTTGAACTTGTTGCTTCCCATCTTCAGACACTTTCACCTTTAGGACTCTAAATTTGGAGCCCCCAAGGTCTAAAGCGAGGAAGTCACCCTTTTCTGAAATACAAAGAAACAGAAACAGTTGAGTTTTCCACACAAACATAGAGATCAGCCATCGGCAGAAATTGTCCAGCAAAGATTCTCCATAGAGGATGCCATTTTGCATCGCTGTCTTCCGGAAATAGGTCTGGAAAACAGCGGGGAGCCATTTTGAAAACCCGATGATCAGCTGTTTTTAATCATCATGAAGTGAAAAATCGGTTCCCAAAGCAGGGAACTGATAGTTGTAAAACAAAACAAACAAAAAAACCCATTGGAATCATCGCAAAAAACTCATCGTCAAGTGATTTTATTGTTTAACGAGGTAATAGTCAAGCGGGGCACCGCTGTAATTAACTTTTTACATAACCTAGCCTACCGTGATTGATTTATTTACAGTGATTGACTTATTGATTCTTTACCAGTGATTTACTATTTTTATTTCCTGTAATCAATAAACCAGTTTTTGTTTTTCAAAGTTACACTTGTCCTTCGCTTGATTTTCAAGGATAAGTTGGTGGCAGCAGAGTTTAAAGTGAAGTAGCAACCACTCTTTGAGGTTTGAGGGTGGCTGTTACAATAAAGATCCGATGCATAAGATGACCCCCACTTTTCCAACCCTAAATAAGAAAAGTTGATTGCTGCTTTCCCCCTCCATTTCCTAAGCCTCGTGAAAGCAGGATCAAAGGGCTGTGGAAGTGGAGGGGGAAAGCAGTGATCTCAGGAAGTGGAGGGGTAAAGCAGCAATGAAAGAGCTCCAGGATTGCAGCCATTTGATCCTGTAGCCCTTTCATCGCTGCTTTACCCCTCCATTTCCTAAGCCCCATTGTGTGTATGCACACACCATTCCAGATCCCCTTGCAGGCGAGGAGGTACAGTGCCCACTGCTTCAGATCTGTGAAGAAGAAGCAGAAACAGAGGGGGTGGGTCCCAACATGGAGTTACCGCCAGACCCCACTGATGAGCAGAGGGTAGGCAGTTTTGCTACTGTGCAGTTTTCTCCTCAGCTTACTTCCGTGTAAAAGACAACCCTCAGTTTTCCCTCCAATGATTTTAGGAAAAAGTATCATCTTTTACACTGAAAAATACAGTAATTCCAGACCTTAAGTGCACAAACCTATTTAGTAAAGAATGCATAGAACCAGGAGATCACAAAGGCTTAGGTGCAATTGTGAATTATCTGGTCCCTATGGCTTTTCTGATACATGTCCATTCCTACCAAGGGCCAGTCAAAGAAATCCACATTGCCTGGTTACCTGAGCCATCAGGAATTGATCGCACAAACGTTGGCAGCATTTTTATTGTAGCTGTTGGGTTGGTGTCTCTTCCCAGGCCTTTCACCATCTCTGCCTGGAAACGAGCCTTCACATCACGGAGGATCTCATCCGAAAGACGCATATGGTAGAGGTATCGATCAACCTACAACAGGACACTTATACTGATTTTGCCTGGTTACCTGAGCCATCAGGAATTGATCGCACAAACGTTGGCAGCATTTTTATTGTAGCTGTTGGGTTGGTGTCTCTTCCCAGGCCTTTCACCATCTCTGCCTGGAAACGAGCCTTCACATCACGGAGGATCTCATCCGAAAGACGCATATGGTAGAGGTATCGATCAACCTACAACAGGACACTTATACTGATTGTATAATACAGTACAGTAAAAGGATAAACATTTTTACGTGGGATAATAGTGACTCACACCCAAATATGCAGACACACATATCTGCCACCTCTTCTCTACACATACTTCCTTTCTTTTTGGCACACGGGTCCCTCAATAACTTGTGTAAAGAAACTTGTCTGTCAAGTTTCTATAACTCTCATCAGCACCTCTCCCTCAGCATGGCCAATAGTAAGGGTCTGTGGGTGTAAAATTATCCGAGAGAGGGGACAGACTGGGTCTGTCCAATAAAAGGCAAAAGTCTCAAATTTTATTTTTTCCTTCCAACCACTGCCTTCTTTGCCTACTGCCATCTTGTGGTCTTACTACATATACACTAATGCAGTGAATACCATTGTGGCAGTAGGCCTAAACTTCAGGAGGTGTTCCCCTTCTCTCACTTGTTCCTATTTCTATCTAGGTGCAGAAAAGGAAGGGAAATCTTGTTATTGATTTCACTTGCCCAAAGAAATTCAAATTTGAATATGCTAATGTAAATGAATGTATACAAATATCATGAGACATGATAATGAGACATTATTACTATAATTTAGATGAAAATATGCTACTGTTCACCATATTGCACAAGATTGTGATTAGGTAACCACCTTGAGACACAGCATTCAAATACAGGCGTACCTCAGTTTACGAATGCAATGCGTTTCCCAGGACATTTTGTAACGCAAAAAAATTGCAAACCAAAATGCAGTTTCCCATAGGAATGCATGCATGGGGGTGGTGCTATAAACCTCCCAGGTGCAATGCAAATTTGCTTTGTATTGCGGGGAAAAAATCGTAAACTGAGGCATTATTTTCAATGGATTTTTGTTCATAAGCCAAAAATTACGTGAACTGAGGTGTTCGTAAAGTGAGGTATCACTGTAAAGAGAGGAAATAAATCAGATAAATAAATATAGCTATGTGTTTAATAACTTTCTGAAATGCTGTGTCCCTTGTATGTTCTGCAGCTTACTGAAAATGAATATATATACTGTAGAAAGAAGATAAACTGTAGTTTTATCAAATTATCTAGCTAGGCAATAATCGGTTATTTCAGGTCTGAAGAATGCTTTCAGAATGTCCACTCCAGGGACTTTACTCGCATCTGAGGTTCATACAGAATTGAGATACCATGCCAAATTCTTCCTGTTATTCATCACAACTATACTGACATCAATGTGCGTGATTGTGGCTTTTCTTACAAAATGATTCCCCTTCTTAAATCATTTTACTTAAAAATGAGAGAGGGCTGATTAAATACATTTAGCAATCAAAGCCTCTACTTTTCTTGCTCATCTACGAAAACCTACTTCGAATTAGAGTGGCCACTTACATATCACCAAAAATGAGGACAGCTCTTCAAATGGAGGGTCCTCATCCTAAAAGACAACTTATGGTCACCCTAGTCCTATCCCTTCAACAGATTTTCAAGTCTTTGATGTGATTGGGTGCAAGTCAGTTTACATTGAAGAAAATGCATGCCTTTGCATGGGGGGGGGGAGGAAGAGAGCGAGAGAGAGAGAGAAGGACCTCTTTAAGTTTCCTAGAATGTCCTTTACTTTCTCTGACCTATGCTGACATTCCATCAGCCAAAGCTGATATTCTTAGTTGATACCACTTCCTTCTCACACTCCTTCTTAATCCACTCTAGGACAAATAAGGTTTTTTTATTTTTATTTTTATTTTTTTGCTTTGTTCTGGAGAGATAAAAGAGCAGCCATGGTTCCGACATCTCCATCTTAGCTAGCTAGAACTATGATTCTTATTATCTTTGCAACTTCAGTGTACTCCTCTAATAAACACTAACTTTTTTATTTTCCCAAAATGAGCCACTTGGATGGCTCTGCCAACCATTCTAATTTTCAGTGGCCAAATCAACAAGTTAGCTGCTGATTGCTTGGTGCCACTTGCTCTGCTAACAGGGGTGAAGTGCATATACTCTCTCTCTCTCTCTCTTGTTCCCTCCCCATACTGTCGGCTTTGTTACACTGATGTTGGACAACACAAATACAAACACCTTCCTGCTGAACCACTGAGGCCTAACACCATCTGAGAACCGGTATAAAATGAGTGCCCAGGTTTCAAAGCCACCTCACACACCAACAATAGAATTTCCTCCTCCTCCAGAGCTGTTTTCCTTCAGGGTTGTCACCTCTCATCTAAACCCAATTATTAGTTTCAATTAGAACAGACCCATTGAATCAATTGCTGAACAATTGATAAACACTTATGTAAGTCTCTTTGGTTCTTCTCTAGGTGAGAAAAGCAATTGGATTTAGCCACCCAGTCCTGCCTGGAGGCTTAGGGAAGCAAGGCAGCTCCCTGACACCCCAGTTGGTACCCTGAGACATAGCAACTTTATCTGGCACCTCCCAAGATTATTTAGCACAAAGCACGAGGTAGCCTGACTCATTTCAGCACTTGCTCCATTTCACTTCAGTGCTGCTGCATGATCTGTAGGCTTAAGCCTTTTCCATCTTCCTTGAAAATGCCCTAATCTCTGTTTCATTTTGAAATTCCATGTCCTGCCTGATGAGCAGTTGTATTGACTTGAAAGTTCGCCCACATCTCAATTGATTTTAGCAGAGATTATCTTTCCCCTCTAAAAGGCTTGTCTTTCTGAGCCAACAATAATCCCACTTTTCATTTATCAGAGTTTCTGACATTCAAACGCTTATAGTAAACAATCCGTCTAGCCCAATTAACAACAGTCAGGTCAAAGGAAAGACTATGCTTTCTCTTCCTTCCGCTCTACCTCACATCCAGAGGCATGGAAATGTAACTTTTTTTGTACCATATCCATGTTTAGCCACCAGCAAGTAAGCAAAGACGATATGTACACTGTGAGTGATTTGGCCAAAAGTAAGCTCATTGTTGAGTCCCATACAAGAACTGTTAGCATATGACTAAACCCTCATTAAAATTAATTGGACATAAATGTGGTTCACTCCAATTAGACCATGCCCTTAATTCCACTGTATAACTATCGTCTGTGTAACAGAAGCAGAAACGGACCAGTTCTGAGGCTTCCATTGCACTAGAAATATGCAGCATCCCTCACATCCTGTGTCAGGGCCAAATCCTAGTTGTTTATGATCTTTCTACACATTGCTGCTTTTTTCTCTTGTAGCAGCAGAAGCAGAAATGGAGGGGTTGGGTCCCAGCATGGAGGTGCCTCTGGACTCCACTGATGAGCATAGGGTAGGCAGTTTTGCTACTGTGCAATTTTCTCCTCGGCTTACTTCTGTGTAAAAGACGACCGTCAAAATTTCCTCCAATGATTTTAGGAAAAAGTATCATCTTTTACACTGAAAAATACAGTAATTCCAGACCTTAAGTGCACAAACCTATTTAGTAAAGAATGCATAGAACCAGGAGATCACAAAGGCTTAGGTGCAATTGTGAATTATCTGGTCCCTATGGCTTTTCTGATACATGTCCATTCCTACCAAGGGCCAGTCAAAGAAATCCACATTGCCTGGTTACCTGAGCCATCAGGAATTGATCGCACAAACGTTGGCAGCATTTTTATTGTAGCTGTTGGGTTGGTGTCTCTTCCCAGGCCTTTCACCATCTCTGCCTGGAAACGAGCCTTCACATCACGGAGGATCTCATCCGAAAGACGCATATGGTAGAGGTATCGATCAACCTACAACAGGACACTTATACTGATTAATAAGTATAATACAGTCAACCAAAAGGATAAACATTTTTACGTGGGATAATAGTGATTCACACCCAAATATGCAGACACACATATCTGCCACCTCTTCTCTACACATACTTCCTTTCTTTTTGGCACACGGGTCCCTCAATAACTTGTGTAAAGAAACTTGTCTGTCAAGTTTCTATAACTCTCATCAGCACCTCTCCCTCAGCATGGCCAATAATAAGGGTCTGTGGGTGTAGAATTATCCGAGAGAGTGGACAGACTGGGTCATCCAATAAAAGGCAAAAGTCTCAAATTTTATTCTTTCCTTCCAACCACTGCCTTCTTTGCCTACTGCCATCTTGTGGTCTTACTACATACAATGCAGTGAATACCATTGTGGCGGTAGGCCTAAACTTCAGGAGGAGTTCCTTCTCTCACTTGTTCCTATTCCTATCTAGGTGCAGAAAAGGAAGGGAAATCTTGTTATTGATTTCACTTGCCCAAAGAAATTCAAATTTGAATATGCTAATGTAAATGAATGTATACAAATATCATGAGACATGATAATGAGACATTATTACTATAATTTAGATGAAAATATGCTACTGTTCACCATATTGCACAAGATTGTGATTAGGTAACCACCTTGAGACACAGCATTCAAATACAGGCGTACCTCAGTTTACGAATGTAATGCGTTCTCCAGGACATTTTGTAACGCAAAAAATTTGCAAGCCAAAACGCAGTTTCCTATAGGATGCATGCACGGGGGTGGTGCGATAAACCTCCCAGGTGCAATGCAAACTTGCTTCGTATTGCGGGGAAAAAAATCGTAAACCAAGGCATTATTTTCAATGGATTTTTGTTCGTAAGCCAAAAATTATGTGAACTGAGGTGTTCGTAAAGCGAGGTACCACTGTAAAGAGAGGAAATAAATCAGATAAATAAATATAGCTATGTGTTTAATAACTTTCTGAAATGCTGTGTCCCTTGTATGTTGTGCAGCGTACTGAAAATGAATATACTGTATATAGAAAGAAGATAAACTGTACTGTAGTTTTATCAAATTATCTAGCTAGGCAAGAATCGGTTATTTCAGGTCTGAAGAATGCTTTCAGAATGTCCACTCCAGGGACTGGACTCACATCTGAGGTTCATACAGAATTGACATACCATGCCAAATTCTTCCTATTATTCATCACAATTATACTGACATAAATGTGTGTGATTGCGGCTTTTCTTACAAAATGATTCCCCTTCTTAAATCATTTTACTTATAAATGAGAGAGGGCTGATTAAATACATTTAGCAATCAAAGCCTCTACTTTTGTTGGTCATCTACGAAAACCTACTTCGAATTAGAGTGGCCACTTACATATCACCAAAAACGAGGACAGCTCTTCAAATGGAGGGTCCTCGTCCTAAAAGACAACTTATGGTCACCCTAGTCCTATCCCTTTAACAGACTTTCAAGTTCCTTGTTAGGGAGCATAGATATGAATAAAGCTGAAATTGGGTTAAACCTGCAGTATAAGAACAGCACTCTGAATTACGTGGCTCATGAAGGAAGGTGGCATGTTAGCAGATACTAAAGGAGTAGGGGTGGGAATCAAAAGAGTAGATAGACAAATTTCCTCCCTTATATATACTGTATATTGATTGCCAATCATCAGAAGTTGTGACCTTCCAGTATCAGTCTGATCAGCTTCTATGAACTTTTTTTTAAGAAGAAAGGGGGAGGAGAAAATATAGAGAGAATATAGAAAAATGTATTTTCTCCTCCTCCTTTCTTCTTCTTAAAAAAAAAGTTCATAGAAGCTGACCAGACTGATACTGGAAGGTCACAACTTCTGATGACTGACAATTGTGTCTTTGTGTGACAGCATCTCCCACCACAGCATGGAGAAGCAGAAGAGTGTGTAGGATGCCACATATCCCACTTGTGACTCCCTGTCCTTTGCATCTGTCGCTTCAGGCAGTCAGCCACTCAGGGTGTCACCAGATGGGGAAATAGATCACAACTGGGATGGCTTGTGGAGCACTCCATCTCCCACTAATTACATAACGCAGAGACAAATGTGCTCCACACTGACTCAAATCCATGCTCATTCTGGACTGTTTTAGAGCTTCTACTTTCAGGGACCAGGTTGGAGTGAATCACGGGCAAGCAGAAGAAGGTGTGTCTGTGCAGCCATCTGATTATACCCTCTATCACATAGCAGGCCTGTCCTTGATGTCAGATCAGTCTTCTGAAGCTATATGTATTAATTTTGGGCATGCTTTGTTCTATAAGGACAATATGTTTGTTATTTCTGCTCATATATCACAAGGAATGCACACATATCACTTAGAGAAAAACACAGAACAGAAGGAAACTGCTGCCTTTTGTATGTTCAGATGTGACGTAGCCGTGTTTCTCTGTTCCCGCCCCATAAAATTTGGAATTAAGATTGTGAAGTCAGCATGCCCTAAGACTGCACAAAGACTGTACTGTCCCTAAGACTAGGGACATCACCTTACGATGTCATAGGGTGAGGCCTTTATAATGTCACAAGCTTTGACTCCCTGTGTAACAACTGCAAAGTAATGTATGTGCTTCAGCAAGAAAAAAGTTCCCAAATGGTGACAGAGGTCCTCCACTGCCAAACTTGCACAAATGGCTTCTTTGATGTGACTGGGTGCAAGTCAGTTTACACTGAAGAAAATGCATGCCTTTGCATGGGGAGGAGGAGGAAGAGAGAGAGAGACAGAGAAGGATCTCTTTAAGTTTCCTAGAATGTCCTTTACTTTCTCTGACCTATGCTGACATTCCATCAGCCAAAGCTGATATTCTTAGTTGATACCACTTCCTTCTCACATTCCTTCTTAATCCTCTCTAGGACAAATAAGGGTGTTTTTTTTTGTTTTTTGTTTTTTGCTTTGTTCTGGAGAGATAAAAGAGCAGCCATGGTTCCCTACATCTCCATCTTAGCTAGCTAGAACTATTATTCTTATTATCTTTGCAACTTCAGTGTACTCCTCTAATAAACACTAACTTTTTAATTTTCCCAAAACGAGCCATTTGGATGGCCTTGCCAACCATTCTAATTTTCAGTGGCCAAATCAACAAGTTAGCTGCTGCTTGCTTGGTGCCACTTGCTCTGCTAACAGGGGTGAAGTGCATATACTCTCTTGTTCCCTCCCCATACTGTCGGCTTTGTTACACTGATGTTGGACAACACAAATACAAACACCTTCCTGCTGAACCACTGAGGCCTAACACCATCTGAGAACTGGTATAAAATGAGTGCCCAGGTTTCAAAGCCACCTCACACACCAATAATTGAATTTCCTCCTCCTCCAGAGCTGTTTTCCCTCAGGGTTGTCACCTCATCTAAACCCAATTATTAGTTTCAATTAGAACAGACCCATTGAATCAATTGCTGAACAACTGATAAACACTTATGTACCGTATTTTTCGCACCATAAGACGCACTTTCCCCCCACAAAACAGGGGGGTGGAAAGTCTGTGTGTCTTATGGAGCGAAGAAAACAGATTATATTTTCCTGTTTTCTTCTCCTAAAAAATTGGTGCGTCTTATGGAAAGGTGCGTCTTATGGAGCGAAAAATACAGGTAAGGCTCTTTGATTCTTCTCTAGGTGAGAAAAGCAATTGGATTTAGCCACCCAGTCCTGCCTGGAGGCTTAGGGAAGCAAGGCAGCTCCCTGACACCCCAGTTGGTACCCTGAGACATAGCAACTTTATCTGGCACCTCCCAAGATTATTTAGCACAAAGCACGAGGTAGCCTGACTCATTTCAGCACTTGCTCCATTTCACTTCAGTGCTGCTGCATGATCTGTAGGCTTAAGCCTTTTCCATCTTCCTTGAAAATGCCCTAATCTCTGTTTCATTTTGAAATTCCATGTCCTGCCTGATGAGCAGTTGTATTGACTTGAAAGTTCGCCCACATCTCAATTGATTTTAGCAGAGATTATCTTTCCCCTCTAAAAGGCTTGTCTTTCTGAGCCAACAATAATCCCACTTTCCCTCTAAAAGGCTAACTCCACTGTCTTTCTGAGCCAACAATAATCCCACTTTTCATTTATCAGAGTTTCTGACATTCAAACGCTTATAGTAAACAATCCGTCTAGCCCAATTAACAACAGTCAGGTCAAAGGAAAGACTATGCTTTCTCTTCCTTCCGCTCTACCTCACATCCAGAGGCATGGAAATGTAACTTTTTTTGTACCATATCCATGTTTAGCCACCAGCAAGTAAGCAAAGACGATATGTACACTGTGAGTGATTTGGCCAAAAGTAAACTCATTGTTGAGTCCCATACAAGAACTGTTAGCATATGACTAAACCCTCATTAAAATTAATTGGACATAAATGTGGTTCACTCCAATTAGACCATGCCCTTAATTCCACTGTATAACTATCGTCTGTGTAACAGAAGCAGAAACGGACCAGTTCTGAGGCTTCCATTGCACTAGAAATATGCAGCATCCCTCACATCCTGTGTCAGGGCCAAATCCTAGTTGTTTATGATCTTTCTACACATTCCCTTTTGTGTAAAACTCAGTCTTGTATGACCAAAAATTCACATGAGGTAGAATAGATTTGAGAAGCAGTTGTCTGGTGTTGGTAGAGAGCAGGGGTGAACCAGCCACATGGGTGACCTAATGGGAAGGGAATTCTATTTACAAGGACATTGAACAAATAGGTCTGTTCTGTACTCAGAGGGCCACCAGCTTGTACTCACATAAGGCACATTTGGGGATATAGTGCCCATTCGTGATCCCTTTCAAAACCAAAGGTGGAAAATTATACACTGCACTCCCATGTAAACACAGATAACAATTGTTGGAAACCTAGCAGACTTTGAAGTTCCATTATGAATGCACTGGGAAGAAAAGAGATTTATTTATTTTTTCTAGGACATTTCCCTTACACACAGCTGTGTACTGCAGTCCCAAACCATGAGCCCAGAAACAGCCATTGGAATAAGCCTTG